CGTTCGTCCCCTCCCACCGCGTGGTCCAATTCATCGCGGCCCTTCATGCACTTCTTGTTGAAGTAGACGCCGTCAGAGTAGAACTTGAAGTCCACCTGGCTCGCGTCAATGGACACCGCCACAGGCCCCAGCTTCGCGACGGCGGCCATCAGGGCCAGCTCGTCGCGCGGCGCCACCTGGGCAAAGCCCAGGAAGCGCGCCGACACAGGTGCGTGGGCGGGGGAGGTGTTCTTGCCGCAGAACGCGTTCTGGCCCAGGTACTGGTACGCCTCCTCACTCAGGGCCCCGTCTGGGGAGTGGTTTGAGGGGACGAGGAGACGAGGGGTGAGGAGTGGGTAGGGCCTGTCAGGACAAGGGGCGCCGCCGCGAGCGTGGGCTGCACTTGGTGCGGGCTAGCCGTGCACCCCTTGCGCCCTGTGTCCTGGGCCTCACCCGCGTCTGTGACGTACTGGATGGCCGGCTCCATGTTGCCGCCACCGCATCCGTCATTACCTGAGGGGGGTGACCAGCGGCAGGTGCGGTGCGGGTGAGCACACCGGTCACGTCACTCCGTCACGAGCGAAGAGCAAGTGTTGAAGGTTGCAGGCTGATGCCACAGCCGTCACGCCCCAGTAGAGGGTGCTGCTTGCCTTGCCCTCCTCCATCCACCCCAGCCCGGCAGGCCCACCGTAGTCCCAGCTGCAGTCAACGAGCTGCTGCTCCGACAGGCTGAGGCTCTCCCCTGTGGCGGCAAACCACGCGCCCTCCATGGTTCCGGTGGCCGCAAAAGCCTTCGCGTGGTAGGGGGAGGGGAGGAGCAGAGGATGGGGGGCAATGAGGGCGCTAGCCCCAGCTGCGCAGGGTGCGTCCAAACGAGTCAAGCCAAAAGCGGTTGAGGCGCGTGTCGCGCGCAGCCCATGTCTACCGCACAAGCGTCACACAAGCGCCCTTCGCAAGGGCGACAAGGGCCTGGCCACCCCCTCCCTGCGTGCTCGCTCACCCAGCAGGAGCCGCATGTGGCCTGGTCCTTGATGATGATGTCAGCGCCGGTGCCACGCCAGTCCACGTGGCGCGGCAGCGAGGTGCGCGTGACGCCCTCCGACGTGAACACACCCAGAGTGGGGGCCTGGTGGAGGGGCAGAGCAAGATATTGGTTCCATGCATGGAGATGGCAGAAGCAAACTGTGAGTCAGAAGTGCGGCGTGCCGTGTGGAGAGAGCAACCTGCCGCTTCGCCCAGATTCTGGAGGCTTGTTGTGCCGCCAGTCCGCCCTCTCATGCTGCCCGGGCCGCGTCGCCCTCCGCCCCCCACCCCCTAAGCTCCTGAGCTAGTCCCCCACCTTGCGCGCTGCATCCATGCGTGTGGGCCGCCTGGCTGTCAGCAGGGCAGAGTACTCCTCGGGCAGCCAGTCACTGCAAAAAGCGCACGTGTGGACGACAGGGTTTGTACCGCAAAAGTGAAAATGCATTTCATGCTGGGATGGGGTTGAATGCAACATGCTGCCGTCGCTGTGCAGCGCTAGGGGATGCTGCCCTGACCTTGCCAGGAACAGCAGCGGAAGCTGTGCAGCTCGGAGCAAGGGTCGACCCATGAAGCCCCTGCAGCCCCACCTGAAGCGGTTGAGGGCCACGCTGAAGCCGGCGCCCTGAGCGTCCCATGATGACACGAAACGCGCCGCCTCCGCGCGCGCGGCCAAGCGCCGCAGGAGCAGGGCGCCCTGTGCCAGGCCGCCAGCCGCCGCAGCTCCGACGCCGCCCGCGCCAGACAGGCGTGCCCACGGCATCAGCGCGGCTGCCTGCATGACACGTGATGCCCTGGCCGGTTCATCGGCATGCACGCCGCCGCGCTGGGTGGCCTCTGCTGCGCGCCTCTTCTGTGCGCCGTCGCACGCCTTTGGCACCTCGAAGACCTTGTCTGCGGGTCGTCCCGGCTTCCAGGAGGTGAAGTCCACGAGGTACTCATCGTAGTGGGAGTACTGGGGAGGTGCACGGCGGGGGGTTGGGGGCGAAGGCACCGCGGAGCGCGTTTTGATGGCGATGAGAGGTGGCCCAGCAAAAGACTGTGGGAGAGGGGGAGCACATCAGGACAGGCACCCGCAGCCATGCGCAGTCATCTTGGGCCAGGCACGCACAGCCCCCCCACTGCCCCGGGCCCTCCCACCTGAATGATGTTGCGCCCCATCATGTAGAGCCTGAGGGGTGTGCCGTCCTCCGCGGCGTAGAAGGAGTAGACGTTGGTCTTCTCGCCGTGGCGCTCCCGCAGGGACCAGATGTGGGCCTGCTGGCCGCGCAGCATCGTGGTGCCCGCGTATGACCACCCAGTCACGTCTGGCAGCGGCTGGGGGGCGAGGGGGGAGGAGGAATGGGAAGTGCCGACTGCTGAGGTTGGCGTGCTCATGGGTGTGAATCACAGCAGCGGGAGCCAGGTGGTCGGCAAACAGAGTGGTGAGTGACAGCAGGTGAAGCAGGGGTTGAGAGCTGAGAACCGCTGCTGGTCCCGCACAACCCCCATGGGCGTCGCCAACTTGGTGGCTGCTCACCGCGTCAGAGAGCAGGCGAGCACCCAGACCGGTGGGTCCTGCCGCCGAGTGGGCCACGTCACAGGCCGTGACATTGATGCGGGGGTACACCGTGTACACGGTGTCCGGGTCGGTCTGGAGGCGGGGTGAAGGGAGGGGAGTTGGATAGTCAAGGTGCCGTACGAGATATACCAGTGTGAGTCAGCGTCATCTGTGCTGCTGGCATACGTTGCCCTACAGACTGCTTGACGAGCGGAGAAGCGGAGCGCGACCCTGTTGTCGTGCAGCCCGGGTCCTCCCCGGGCGCGCACCTGGATGGCGCTGTCGAGGCCGCCATACACGTCCAACCGCAAGCGCCCGCCCTCCCCGTCGTACCACAGGTGCACAGGGTAGCTGCGCAGGCAGGGGGTTGCAGCCGTTCGCAAGGTGTACGAGGAGGCGGGCAGGGTAAGGTTGCCACCAAATCCCGACCACATGCAGGGGGCTTGTGGGGCTTTGCTAGACGCAGCTGCTAGCATGCTGCTGGCGCAGAAGTTACTTCATCACTAAAACCACTGCTCCGATCCCACCTGAGGCCATGGGTCTGGACCACCTTGACATAGGGCAGGCTGCCAGTGGATGGGGTGCACGCCGGCAAGGGTGCAAGGTGAAACGATACAATCATGGGAACCTGGCCCATCCGTGCTGTTCGCAAGCAAAGAGATTGTATTGCACAACACGGGTTCAGCTGCTTGGCACACACCTGAATGTGTATTCGGCCTGCAGCCAGCGGAGGGCGTGGGTACAGCGTGGGAGGGGCGAACGGCGTCGGGGGGTTCGTTCACTGGCACCACGAGCAGCTGCTTCTGAATGTCTGTGCCACAGGTCGTGGCAGGCCGGGATGCGAGCTTCTGCTGCAAAAAGTGGTGGCGCACCTCAAACGACGCAGGGTAGACTGGGGGATTGGGGGCGAGCGCCCACCAGGGGCGCATGACCGATCGCAGGGACGCGAGCGCGTCTGCGCCGGTTGCGGCCTGCGTGCCTGCAGCGAGGCTGGCAAGCGACATCAATACCAGCAGCAACCGCCAATGTGCGGACAGGTCCGTCCAGGCCCTCATGGCGCCCGCGTTGATGGTGTATGAAGTCGAGTACACCACGGCGTGCCTGCAACGTGCGTAGGGACGTGTTATACTGCTCCTGATCACCCGGCGAATGTACGGCATCAAATGCGGCACTGCGATTAGGGATCCCAATCGGCTGTAGATCACGTGCTTTGTAGATCACCAAATACTACTAAGGCAGTATTCCCGCCCGAATCTGTGGCAGTGCTCCTGGATCATACGTCAAGGGCAACGCAATTGCAACCCAACGGGCCAGGGGCCTGAAACGATCTGCGCACTTGGTCTGCATGCTGACCAAATCCCGCCGCTTTGTGCCCGAGGGCGCAAGGCAGAAGCAGCAATAATGCAAGGCAGCGAACCTTATAAACATGCTTGTTACCAAGTATGGTCGGCTGCACCATATGGACCACGACGCTTGGGGCAAAATAGAGCTGTTTCTGCAAAAGCACATGCATGGTTCTGGAACCCCAAGCAACCTGCCAAGATGAGACAAAGGAGTGCATGAACACATCTTTCACGACCTGAACGACCCGATGCACCCAAGTCAACCTCAGACCGCGCAAATGAGCTCAGGCCTTGTCGTTGATGGCGCATCAGTTCCTGACCTGCACCTGCACGCTGTCCTCGCCCGTCACTGCGCCAGTGATGGGGGCGCCGCTCTCCTTCTTCTTCTTCGTGCAGGACTCCTCGCATGAGGCATCGTGGCACAGAACGGCGGCAACCCAGGCAGAGTTGAAGATGATGATCAGGATCCAGCCCGCGCACAGGGCGGCGGCGCTCATGTACAGCACCTGAGTGAGGATTGGGGCATGGCGAGGAGGGCGAGAAGTGAGGTGGTGCACGGCACCAGACAGGGTGTCAAGACTGCAGATAGGAAGATCCCCGCTCACAAACGCATATGCAAAAGCAACAGCTGCTGCATGCATGTTACACGCCTGGTCTCACCCACTCCTGCGGCCGCGCACCTTGTCGTCGCCGGTGTAGTCAGAAAAGAGGGGCGCCACATCCCAGTAGGCCCAGACCTTGGCGATGTCAGCGTTGAGCGAGACCATGATGATGGTGGTGGCGATTGTGAAACAGTAGGACAGCACGTAGCGGCCCTTGGCAAGGCGCTGAACGGGAAGGCAGGTGACGATGGCCGCCACCAGGATCACAAACAGCTGCAGGAACAGGCACCACCACTGCCTGCATGTTGGTTGGATTTTTGGATAGAGTGTGACCTTGATGCGCAGGATGAATGCGGCTTCCATGTTGCGTACATGAGGCATGCAAAAGCAAAACAAAGGCACGCAACAAATGGAGGGTTGGGCACCCTCAAACGGACGGGACCACTGCCAAAGCAGGATCCAGCTCAGCGCTGCAGGGGGGCATGAATACAAACTGGTTATGACACTGAGTGACACACTGATTGTAACGTTCCCCACTTTCACTCTGGGGACAAGCACACGCAACCACTGCTTGACAGATGCATTTCTACTGCTGCACCTCACCAGCTCCACTCGCGCGAGCATTTGGCGACGGCGAAGACATCGGCGTCGCTGGGCAGCTGAGCCTTGCAAGTGGTACGGTCGATGGAGCCAAGGCCGCCGAGTGCCAGCACCCAGGAGGCCAGGTTCAGGAACAGGACCACCGCAGACGCCACGCGCACGCAAGCCATGGTTCTTGACCAGACCAACTGCATTCCGGTCCGGCAGGGGGTTTGAGGGGGAATGAGGAACAGACTTTGCCAAGGGTTTGGCATGGGGGCAACAAGATTGGTGCGACAGTCACCTGCAACACGCGGTGCGGTCAACGCACCGCTGGTGCTTTCGCAAGCCAGACCCCAGCCACAATCGGGTCTGGCTGGTCTATTAATCTGGTAAATTAGCCTGGGTGTGTTGCTCAACTACGCGGGGCTTGTGGCCCGGTCGAACAAACAAGGCACGCACAATACAAACTCGGCTGTCGACCGCGACCAAGAGATGAAGCACGCGTTAATCGTGCTTTAATCGTCTCCAAAGTGACAGGGAAACGGCCTCACAGCTGAGTGCCCCTCCTCACCTTGGTCAATTGGCGCGAAGACTGGTGAAGTCGGAGGGAGCTTAGGGATTGATTGTGAAGCGGGCCTGAAGACTATTGATCATATGTACGAATGAACCAATGTCGTTCAAGAAGGACTTTGAGCGAATCAGATCACTGCCAGGGAAGCTGCTGATCCCCCATGTGTGCCCATCAATGGCCGTTTGCACGTCTAGTATAAAGAGGCGTTGCAAGGCGCCACATGGCGAGGTTCACATGCGTCAGCTGCGCGTTTGGCTGCGGCGTGTGCATCGTGCAGGCCCACCGCTTGCAGCGCCTTGTCAGCAAATTGACGTCGCCTGTCAGCATTGCAAAGCCACCTAGCCACACAGCCGCTCACGGCGACCTGTGCTTGCCACTGTATAAATGGGCATGTTACAATGACCAGTACCGTATCAATATGGCACATAAAACCTGCCAGGTTGAGACGCACACAGCCACGGCGCCAGCAACCGACTCGGTGGGGTCCGACCCTGCATCAACCCCACTGCGAGCAGCAACAAACTGTCCTGACAAGCGGTGGGCTGCTCCAGCTGCCGTCACACCAATAGCAAATAACACAAAGGTCTGCCATGCTTGATGCCCACAACCTCAAAGCTCACTCAGGCAATGAAGCGCTCAAGTGGGGTATGTGCATAAGAACCGTCCTCACTGCAAGTTTGAAACAGCGCAAAGGTCACGCTTGGAACCGTGAAAGGGGACGGGTTGTACGGTAGTGTCATGGGCTTAATAAACACCTGCAGTGCAGAGAGGCAGTTGGTATCGTCGCGTCCTGAAATACAGTGCATGGGAGCGGGCATCAGCTAGGTTCTCGGGTGACGCATACATTATACCAGCGGCATCATCACGTGTGGAAAGTCCCTATCAGGTCATCAAACACACATGCCGCCGCTGCAGTATCGTATATACCGTTTGTGTAATGCCTCGCAGTCTGGCACTGTCGGCGCACCTTGCCCACGACCATACCGGGCGCAACCTCTTTCATCTCGTCTACGAACTGGCGTCCAGCAGGATTGGGGGGGGGGGGTGTTGTGCACCCTCAGCCACGCAACAGCTGCGATGATGCTGTCAGCGAGACAGGGCTGCGCTGGTGACCAAGGGCACCTCACGAGAGCATGGACACATGCAGGAGCGGCAGCACGTGACAGAGGCACCCACCTTGTTCAGCGATCGGCCCATGAAGGGCTCGGAGTTGGTGTAGTCAATCCACCAACTGCAACAACACGCAAGCAAGGAGATTTCGCGTTTGCGTCAATGGCTCGAGTTCTGGCAGCTGCTGTGCGCGCGACTGCACACCCAACAGCGGCAAGCTGACATTGGTCTGCGCCCGAAGCAGCAATTGGACAGCTAGCTGTGCAAACGCGTTCTTGCGAAATCACGAACCACCCTGCCACAGGCACAGACCTGCCATTTTCGAGTCGCATTTCTCCCTTGTAGGCGAGGACGCCGCTGAGACCCGCAGACCAGGAGCGCATCTGCTGTCCCACAGTCAGGATATTCACAACGGCAGTGGGCAAGCCTGCAGATGCCATCGAGGCGGAACTAATCGTCGATGGAGGGGCAAGTAATGAATTATTGTGCTGCGCGTGTATGGCCAGGCCCACAGGAGCCTCGTGCCAGGTACAGGGGCCATCAGGATCGGTGCAGCACCTAACCACGTGTCAGTGGTCCCTCTCACCCTGTGGCCCTTTCGCAGTATGCACTTTCATAGCACTTAGCATCAACCCCCAAAATGTATGGTGTTCAGCTAGCCCGCACCACATGCCAGCGCACATAGGTATCGGCGCCGTCCCTTCACTGGCACATCAACTTTTCCTGCACACGTGCTCACCTGTTGCATCGTCCCAAAAATTGAAGCACTTGCCGCTCCAGCTGCCGCTGTTCCAGGGCAGGGCGCCCACCTTGTTGGGCAGGCTGTCCCCCACTAGACAGCCCACCACACAGCCCTTGAGGGGGAAGCCCACTGCCGCGGAGGCCGGTGGAGCGGTGAGGAGCGCCTGGTTCCATTTCCTGTGTTGTGCGAGGGCATGCATTATAGCGGAATCGGGCCGGCGCAAGAAAGTGATTTGCCCCTTCATCATAGTGTGAGCAAGGGCGACAGGTGGGGGGGGGACAGGCCGCTGGCAACGACCAGGCTCTGCTCCCAGCCGTTGATTGAAGGCCGGTCTGCAAATACCCGCTGCTTGTCGCAATATAGGCCTGAAACCCAGCCCATCACACGACTCCAATGTGGACTACTGCAGCAATTGCATGTCCAAGCAGTAGCGCCCTCATGTGTTACGCTGCGCCTCACCAGGGGGAGTCGGTGCTGAGGTGCTCGCAGAACGCCTTCATGCCAGCGAAACCCGCAGGAACCTGGAACGGCGTGCATTTTTGTGTGCCTGCGCCGAGCAGGAGGGGGGTGTATTTTTTAGGGTTCCAGCGGCAGCAGCTGCCATGGGCACTTGCCTGGCGAGCACATGCATCTACAGTACGCGAGCAGCAGTGGTTGTTGCTGGTGGGCTGTCAGCGCAGCAACGAACTGCGACTTCCCTGCTGCTTCTGTTCCTGCATAAGACCCGTTGCGATCCTCTCAGTGACGTTTTCATACAACAGATTCCAGGACCTTGCATTGGCTGGCGAGGCAGCCAACATTGGCGTGCTGCCATCGCGAGCTGGCCGCACCTGGGGGTATTGGCGGGCGGGAGCCACCACGGTGGCCACGGCTCTGTGCCGCAACATCCACGTCCATGGAGTCGTCAGTGTGAGGCTCCTGACTTTGGGTGTCGCTGGTTGGGTGGTAGTCATCAGTGGCGGCTGCCAAATGCATCGCTGCCAAAGCCAGGAGTATGAGCACCACTGCCGCCATGGCTGACAGTGGATGCGCTCTTCCGTTGCTGGCAGCCATGTAGGTCAGGGCGGGATCCGAGTGCATGGCAGGGATCATGTAATCACTTCGTGGTAGCCTGAAGGTTTGTTTTGCACAATGACGATTCGGGGGCCTTGGGCGGACCTCGGGAACGGGAGCAGGTGAGCAACCGTCGTCAAGGACGCGTTGGGGCATGATGGAATAATAATGCTGGTTATTCATCAATATTCAGAGTCAGTCGCCCTGCCCACCGCATTCCCCACGCCAGCAAAAAGCAGTGGTGGGCGGTTGAGTGCGTGAGGTCACAACATGTCACCTGCACTGATCCACACCTCGAACAACATCATTGTGTGGTACAACCCAGCAGATCACCACCACTACGGCCATATTTATGAAAAGTACGTACATAGTAGACATACCATACCCTTGCCCCCTGGGCATCCCAACATCAACGAGGCACCAGCATCGTGCCGGCGATTGATTTGTGCTTTGCTGCAGCCAATTTGGCTCTTTCACAACGCGTGTGGGAGTCTGCCTGCCTCTTCTGCTCGTGCGGGCTGGCTGGTGCAGGAGGCCAGCAACCACAACACACATGTGGCACCATCGATCGGTTGCGTGTGCGACGTGATGCACCCAGCGTACGGTATGCGCCTGTATGCATCTGCCCTATACTGCATGCCTTGCACACCCAATCAGCCAGTCTAGCATAAGCGCTACGCTACCTTTGCTGCCGACTCGCTCCCCTGCACAGCAATATTGCCGCATATGTCATTGCAGGCGGCACTACCGCCCCTGTTATGATGATGCTTTCAGTGTGTAACCGAGATGGATCTTAACCTTTTGGGCTTTGGGCTGGGCTCACACCGACGATGATGCTTGACACGACACGCGATTTTCACACTTCGGTAGTACTACCGTACTTTGAAGCATCACCAGGGCGAAGCACAAGGGCAGGGGACGTGTGATACTCCGCACATTGATGAGAATTGATTGAGTGACATACCACATTGCAGTCGGACAGCTTCCACGTCGGATCGCACAAGGCGCAGCACGCAGATCGACAGGGATCGCGCAGCGCAGCACTGACGAAAGATAGCACGCGGATGCAGCCGCGCCAGCAGCAAGCGGCAGCACGCTACACGGCTTTGGCGGCGCCATTGGCAGCACGAGCAGCCCGGCTGCGCCCTGGCCTTCGGCTTGAAACCCGCTCAGCGTGGTGCCTCCAGCGGCGCTGTCCCAGAGTGATGGCGGCTGCATCGCCTGTCAACCCCTTCAGCGTCACCCTGATGGCAGGATGCGCGTCGCTGGCGCTCAGCAGGGCCGTGCCAGCGCATGATGTCGCTTTTGCTGTGGCGTGGCCGGCCTACCTGTGGGCGGTCAATCGCTGGCGCTTTGACCGCAACTCGGCGCTGGGGGCGCAACGCCCTGGCGCCCTCGTCCCGGAGCCCTGGGTCCGCAGGTGCGAAACACAGCCGCCAGACGAGAACGACTGCCCTTCAAGAGCACTGTTGCAATCTCGCCTGGGAAAAAAGGGTTCTCACCCCGCCCAGCGCCCGCATTTCGCCCTCTGCCTGGCAGCCTCTCTCGTGCAACCCCGCCTGCCGACCCTGGATATACGAGACACTGCCATGGACCTCGCTTCTGAAAACCACCCGCTCCCATCCCAGGTACGCGGCCTTTGCCGGCGTCATCGGCCTCCTGCTGCCCGCCGTCGTCTGCCTCGCCAACCTCAGCGACGCCGCCGTGCTGGCCGCGCTCGGGCCCCACCTGTTCCTCACAGCGGCGCAGGTCGTGTGCGAGTTTTTCACTGGCAGCGGCACCACAGCGACGCTGCCGCGCATGCTTGTCCCGATAGGATTCAACACCTTCAGGATGTGGACGCTCTGGACGTGGTGCGGCGCGGTCGCGGCATCGGGTTTGGGACCGTGGCACATGGCGCTAGCTGTGATCAACTTGGGGTTTTGGGCCTACAACCTTTTCATCTTTCTGCTGCTAAAAATGCTGCCGGCATACCTGGACACCAAAAAGTGCGCAGTGTGAAGCTGTGAACGCAAACCAGCTCCCTACACTGCGCGTTTGCTGACAAGCTCACGTTGTGCTGCTGGCCTGCATGCCGCACCTCGCACAATGCTGATGTGACGCACGTGTCTGTCAGCGAGTGCACACGCAAATCGAAGGTGCGTTGCCTTGTACAATTCTGCACGTGCAGGGCGTGCGATTGAGTTTTGTGCGCACCCGGTGGCAAACAGTCTGTGGTCAACCCTGCTGGCAGTGGGGCTTGTAGAGCTTTTTGAGGTAGACGGCATCGATCGTGAGTGCCTCAATGCTGATTCACAGTGCAACAAGCCGGCGCTGGCCAAGCACAAATGTGCTGACAACACAACTGCCATGAGTACGCAGTTTGTGGCGACCGAGAGCGCTGTAAGCTAAGCGAAGCAGCCGAGGTGTATGCTACGTAGCGTTACAACATCAAAAATGCGTAATTGCCGGCTGCAAGCATGGCCGCCCCAGCAAAACAGGGGGACTGGTTGCGTGATCTCCACTGCGTGCTGTTGTGCATTGCCATCAGCAGGGCACCTGCATTGCTGCAGTGCCCGAGCACATTGCAGGCAAGCCAGCCGCGCGAGTCAGCGATAGTGTGTCTGTGCACTAGCGCACTTTCGTAGGGAGGGTGCTAAAGCTGCAGCATGAAAACTGCATGACAAGATGCGCTGGCCACCCACAGATGACAACGCAAGCAAGGCAAGCGTAGGCAGAAAGGGAATGCGCTTGCAGGCAGGCCACGGTTTGGCGACGCGGCACGACAGCCCGTGTACGACGTGCATGCGAAGCCACGTGGGTTGTAGCAGAAGCATGCATGCAGCAGCAGCAGCAGCGAAAGCTAGCAGCGATACAGCAGGGCGTACTGATGAGTTTTCTGTATGAAATGTTATCCAAGGCCGGGGCCCTGCTTTGGACCGCAGCGCAATACATCCTCACTGCCACATTCGCTCCCACCGCACGTTCCAGCGCCTGCTCTGAACCTGCCACAGCTCTCGGTGCCCGCACAGCTGCCCACTTGGGCTACAGTGCCAGGACAAGGGATGGTGCCAACCTACGGCTGCAGCAGCGACTCGAGGTCCCTCTCATCTGCGGCCACCGCTTCCTCATTGGCGTGCAGAACGCAGCGCTCTAGGTCCCAGAGCAGCACATGGCCCTGCTCACCTGGCAGCAGCAGCACATTTCGCAGCCGCACATCACCGTGGGCCACGCCTGCTGCATGCAGCTGCTTCAGTGCGTGCCTGATGCCTTCTGCCACTGCTGATGTGAGAGGCTCATGCACAGGCTCGCCCAGCCGAACTGCCAGCAAGGGGTGGCCGCTGTGCGGCAGGCGCCCTACCGTCAGCATCTCCGGGATGCAGCTGCCCTGCAAGGGCTGCAGCTGCATGTAGGCGTCGACCTCTCGCAAGAAGTCCGCACAGGCAAAGTCGTCGTAGAAATTGAACACCTTCACAGCAGCTGGCTGCTCGTTGATGCACCCCTGTCAACAGACACGCGAGGGAACCGTCAGGGGGTGACACAGGGCGCGGTCAGGCAGGTTTGCCGGACGACAGCGGCAAGCCGCGTGCTTTGCTCCATGTCCAGCTTGTATGTGCACACATGCACATGCTGCAGGGGCAAGCTGCTGCACATGAACAAACCTTGAAAACATGATGGCGCCTGCTGCCCCCCAAATAGGTGCCGCTGATGCCCAGCTGGCCGTACGAGAGCTCCGGCAGCTCAGGTACAGCATCCACTCCAGCATGGGAGCTGGCTGCGTTGAGCCACAACTGCGTGTCGAACGTAGGCACTGACGTGCCGTTGTCGCGGGCCGTGTCGCCATCGCCGCCTTCTGGCTTGCGCGCTGTGAATGCGCCTGCTGACTGCCCGGCTGACGCGTCACGCTGGCGCTTGGCGAGGCGGTCGGGCTGCTTGCGTGTACGAGCGGTCACGCGCCCTGTTGGCTTGCCGCTGCTGCCATCGCCGCCGTCATCGCTGTTGACACTGCCACGCGGGTACCCACACGGCGGCGTAGCAGGCGTAAAGCTGCGCGGCAGCTGCTGCTTAACATCCAGCGTCAGCTGGCTTGCCAATCGCAGGCAGTACAGCCAGGCGGCATAAGGCGGGATGCCGCCAGCTCCGTTCCAGCACACGGGCGGCGAGGCGCAGAGCACTGTGTTGGTCGCGTCGTTGAGGTCCCGCATCAGGAAGTAGGAGACACGATATGTGGACAGCATGATGAAGGGCGTCTCGTCCATGATGGCATCACCATACGCCTACAGCCATGGCCAGCAAAAGGACAGCATCGTCACGAAGCCAACTGCAACGACGGCCCGTCAGGGGTGGCAAAACGCCTGTCCACTGCACACAGCTGTCTCCGGTACGTGCTGCCGGCGCCCAAGCTGAGCTTGTCAGCCATCACGAGCCACACTGCCCCCCTCCTCAGGTGAATACCCGCTTGTGCACTGGCCATGCGCTCCACCGCACCTGTTGCAACGCTGGCGTGATGCTCTCGCCCAGCTTGCTGTCGCGCAGGGCATCGTCCAGGCTCATGCCAGCGGGTAGCGGGGTTTCCCAGTCGCCCTTGACCTCGATCGACGCCATGATGAGTTTGCTCACGTCGGCGCGGTTGCTGCCGATGCCAGACTTGCGCATCACCAGATCCTGGAACGCCATGCTCCGGCCGCTGCCACTGCCCACATACTCCATATCTGCGAAGAAGCAAGTTGCAGTGAGAGGTCACCACCCGCGAGCCGCCAGCCAGCAGCGGCGAGCAGGCTGTGCACACGGCAGCAGTGCACAGCGAGATGCAGCTATAGGAACCATCACAATCTCTAAGGCCTGCCTCGGGCTGCGGCGCCCGGATGTGGACTCACCCAGCCCCAGCAGCTTCTGGGCCACGCTCGTCACTTGGTGCAGATGAAACAACAGCGCACTGCGGATCTCGCTCTCATCAGCTGCTGCGGCCCATACACCAGGGGTGCCTGGGGCTTGGCCGGCGTTGTGCACCTGCAGCAGCAGCACATTCAACATGCTGGGTCCGCATGGGTGCCTGCCTGCAATACTGCCCCATCCCTTACGCTTCCTGCATGGCAATGGCCCCACACATTGCAGCAGCACCAGCGCACTCGCATGCCTGCATGGCAACCCACCACCCGCTGGCACGTGTGTGTCGTCAGCTGCAGCTCCGCCAGCATGCGGTTGACGCCAGGCTCAAAGTCCTCCCAGGGCTTGATGTCGCTGAACGTCCTTGGATGCGTCGCCTGGGTTCTGCTCTCGGATGCGCGCTCGCTCGTGCGCAGTTTGAGTTCCACCATGGGCTGCCGCAGCCACTCCACGATGTGCAGGCTGCTCCCGTCACCTGCAGCAGGCAAGCCGGTTCAAGGCACCACACAGTGGCGCACCAGCAAGGAAGCCGAAACAGGAGCGGTGCGTGCCAACCCCAGGCCAAGGTGACGCAAGCAAGTTACATGGTAACCACCCCAGCCACGTCTCAGGGTCTTGCACAACAGAGGTGGAAGGGCCCGCACCGGCCGCGACAGGCATCAAGGGGCCCGCACCCGCCGCGTCTGCGTGGCACAAGGGATTGCAGGGGCGACTTGTTAAGCTTGGGAGGTTGGAGGGAGCTCGCATTTGACCCACAAGAACCTCAGGACCCTATGAGCATGCCAAGCTGTATTTTACTCTGATTGTCAACCACCATGCAAAATTTGCCTCAAACCCTCCAGCAACCTCATATTGCGACCCTTTGTGTAAGCAGAGCATGCCTATGGGCCAAGCTTCATGCATGCTGTTGTTCATGCCAACCTGCGGCCATGCATTGGTTTTCACCAGCAGCCATGCACATCCCGACAGCCTCCCAATCACCTGACAGGAGGCTCTTCAGCACCAGCACCAGTGATGCATCATCCTGCACAAGGAACACGGCATCCACCAGGCCCGCTGGCTGGAGGGGCAGCGTAAGCAGCAGGTCCGCCCGCTGCTCCTCTGTTAGGCCTGGAAGGGCAAGCATACGCGTCCATACTGCGTCCCAACCGGCTGCTGGCTGTTGCTGCATGTTGGCGGGGGGCCTGCGAACAGCGAGAAAAGACAACTGGAGAGACTTCCGCCACGCCCATACACGCGGTCAAGCAGCATCCCCAGCAGCCGTTGGCGGCGCGCCCCTGCTCAGCGACGTGGCAGCGAGCTCATCCAGCACAGTGGAGCATGGCTGGCCGGCCTCGAACGCGTGCAACCTATCGCCAGTTTATACATCACAACGGCACTGCTGCTGCTGCTGCTGCTGCTGCTGCTGCTGCTGCTGCTGCTGCTGCTGCTGCTGCTGCTGCTGCTGCTGCTGCTGGCGCAAAGGCATGAAGGGATCATGCAGAAGCAGAGTTTATGGGAACGCACACCAGAGCTGGCCGCTGGGTGGCAGCCTGTAGAAACCACCCCAGCGACGCGTGCAAGAGAACAACGCCGGAGCGAGGAGGGAGGTGACCTGCGCTCTGCTTGCGGGGCCAAAGGGGGCTCATCAGAGTGCGGCGGACCCCCAGCAACAACTGCATACACCAGCTCGCCCAAGTCAAGCTGTGTTAGGTGGGTGGTCCCGGCTTCTTTGCATGGTCAGCCTGCACTGAGCCCCACACAGCAGTTGGCGCGGCCTTCATACACGTCATCTTACTAACCTACCCAAGCCAGCAAACACTGGTGTACAATGTGTCATGGTCGACGAGCCACCGCAAACAAAGTCGGTCTCAACCTGCACCTGAGCACCGGCTTGGCTCACCCGGACTACGGTATTCGGCGCGTTGCAGCCCTGCACGATGACCCTCGCCAACGCCACGCGAAGCGCTTAGCTGCCCGGACGTTTGCCGATTGCCGACAACTACAGTAGCTATATCATAGCCTCGCCGTCTCACGCGATCTTTACTTGCACTGTACAATATCATACAAACCATACAGGAGTGGATCAAATTTCTCAATCATCTGAGCATCTGGAAGCTGCCAGTGTCAGCAGCACTGCTCTGTGGGAACTCGCTAGCAGCAGCACAGGTGGCACGCAGCACAATGATGGTCGCAGCGGGCGCATCACGTAGCACGGGCAAGCTCACCACAGGCTCGACGGCCCTATTTGTTTGCGACATCCAGGAGCGGTTCCGCCCCATCATCAGTGGCTTCCCCGCAGTAAGTCAGCACGGGTGCGGGCGAGCCTGATTAGAGCACCAGACTGGCTCAGCGCTGCATGGCCCACGGTCAAGCCGCACACCGTATTTATATGTCCCTACCTGCGCTTGTTTGTTCGCAGGTCATTGACGTGGCACGGCGAATGGTGTGTCGTGAGGGGGGGGGGTGCAGTGCACTTACCTCGTCCTGTTGGAGGCACGGCTGTGGCCGCTGGCGCACGAAGAGGCGTTCAGCGGCATGTGCCTCGCCGTTTCTCACGCCTGGCTGCCCTCCCCACTAATGGTTGGCCACCCCTTTGCTCACAGATTCGGGGTGCTGGTGTTTTGGGTTTGCCCGTGGTGGTGACGGAGCAGTACCCTGAAAGGCTGGTGCGTGGGGCTATCGGCAGCACAAACGGGTCTCCCTTTCGGCATGTGGGACGGGGTGAGCATGGGCTGGAGCAACAAGGCCGCATGATCAACAAAGCTACGCGTCATCACCTGTAGTGGAGCCCAAACCGCACCCTTTATACGCAGCCCTCACTTCCACCAGCTGACAACTCACGTGCCCCGTGCCTCTCCCACAGGGTGCCACCGTCTCAGAGCTCAAGGAGGTGCTGCCAGAGGCCGCGCCTGTCCTGGCCAAGACGCTCTTCTCCATGGTCACACCCGCCATGGAGGTATGTGCACGCGCAGAGCTCATGGGCTCAGCTGCTCTGGGTTGAGGGCGGCTGCACCTGGTGGACGATGAACCATCCTGGTGTTTCAAAAGCTGACGGGCAGATGCCTGACGCGTATGCCCGTTGCACGTGCACCCAGGCATCAGCGCGTGGACATGTGCCGTTTTGTGAGGGGCGAGTTGCTGCACTAGCTGCAGTCTGATCAACTCAGGCCGGAGCTTGTGCGGACACAATTTTGCTCGGCGCTCGAGCTGCTCCGGGACACCAGTGCCCCGCGTCCCGGCGCACGCACCCGCCCGTCCGGCAGGACTTTTTGTCTCAGAACTCCGCCATTAGGCAGGTCATCATCTGCGGCATTGAGACACACGTCTGCGTGATGCAGACCAGGTGCGCTGCTGCACGCCTAGGCAGGAGAGACGGGCCCGCGACACGTGGCAAATGGCCACAACCAAGGGCAAAAATGCAGGGCAGGCGCTCAGCATGCGTTGCACCATTTGCACCTGTGCACGGCTTAGATATGATGCCAGTGGCTGTCCCAGCACATTTCTAGCAACCTTTTCTTGTTGCCCAATTCCCACTGGTACCTATCTCTAGACGGATGGGCCCAACGCATTGTCCTCCTCTATGACCCCCACGGGCTACGCCTGCTTGAGCGTAGGCGCCACATCCCCCCCACCGCCGTTGCCGCCGATTTGACCCATCCCCTGGTGTGCATCCTGCTTGTCCCTCTCAGCCTCGACCTGCTTGATCGCGGCTACGAGGTGCACGTCCTGGTGGACGGTGCCAGCAGCCAGAGGCCAACAGACAGGGGTGAGGGGCGTGGTGCAGCAGACGCGGCAGATTGGGTGCCTTGCAGGGGGATGGGGGCAGGCCTAGAAGGGAGCGGGTGACGTGAAGGGAAGGAAGCGGTTCTACATCCAGCGCAGCGCATGGTAGCGCTCTTCGCGCCTCTGGGCTCTCTGACAGGGGCGCTGCATGCATGATGCTGTGTACTGCTGCCAGAGGCGGGGCTCATGCGGATGGCCCAGAGTGGAGCCTTCCTGGTGTCGAGTGAGATGGCCCTTTTCCAGCTCATGAAGGTGCGGCGGGGGTTGACCGGATGGCTGTTGGAGAGAGATCCAGTGCTTGATCGAAGCAGCCTGCTGGCAGCGTTGAGGTTTCCCTTGGTGCAATCCTAGGCTGTGCACCCAACATTGCCTGCGCGGCCACCCACGCCGACCCGCAAAACGTGCCACTTGCTTGTAAAGGGGGCAATCACGCAATCACAGCTTCGCGGGGCGCCAAGTCCCGCTTTCGTATTGAGCGCCCCCTCCCTCTGCCACCAGGACGCCAAGGCCCCGGGGTTCAAGGAGGTCAGCGCCCTGGTGCGGGAGCCACGGCCCCAGGACCTCCTGCTGCCGGGGCTGACAGCGCGCCTGTGATGGCCCCGCCATCGTCGCGCGCTGCCTCGCCAGAGGCCTGCCCTCTGAGGTCGTGCTGGTGCTCAGGCCATTGCTTGGTAGTGCCTGTGTTCAATGCTGGCTCGCCGTTCCTTTGAGCGAGGTAGTCAGATAGATCTGTTGAAGGCAATGATGTCACTGTTTGTAACAGCACCGTGCAGCACTGAGTTCGGGTTCACCCCTTGTTCCCGGCCCCTCGTGCCCTCAAAACCAACACGTCCATTTATCTGCACAGGGAATCATTACAGTGTGTAGGGAACACAGCCGGCAAATGCAGGTTTGAGTCGCCCAGGCAAGGGCGTCACCACACAGTCCCCAGCTAAACGTGCACCGGCCATTACGCCCGGGTGCCACAATGGATGACTGCCGGCAGCACCAAAGCTGCACGCACTACTGTGTCTCTTGTCGCTGTTGCCGCTGTACCTGCCATTGCGTGCCCAATGCTACTGCCGCTTCCGCCCCGCCGTCAACGTCGTCGCCGCCGCCGCCGCCGCCGCCGCCATTGCCACCTTGCGCTGCTGTTCCTGCTGCTGCAGCTGCTGCACTGCTGCCGCCTGTGATGTCATTATGTGCCGGTACAAGCGCATGGTGTGGTCCCGCAACTCCTCCTCGCCTGCACACGAGAGTGACAAAGCAATTTCCAAGGCTTCAGCTCAGTGGTTGAACGTGCATTTGTGTTTGTGCGTAGTTCCTCATGTGAAATTCAAGTCTTAGGAGTCCATCTGGCAAGAAGGCAGGCGCCAGCACCAGTTCCCCCCGGACTCCGTGCCATGCCGCCCTGGGCGGACCTGGCCGCAGGCCCCACCCGGCACCCTCACGTGTCCCCCCCCCCCCCTGCCCCCGCCTTCCACTGCCAGCCGCTCACTGGGGAAGCTCTGCAGGGTGGCGGATGAGATGAAAACTGGTCGGTGCAGTGGGATCCGCGAAATGCTGCGGATGGGCGTCTCACAGCTGGCAAGGTGCATGGAGTGGCGGGTAGTTGGGGTGAGGCACCAGGGTGCGTTGATCACAGGCATGAGCTAGCCCATGATGCATGAGACAGCACGTGCCCAGAGTGCAGGGGCGGCTGTAGCCACCTTGAAGCATCTGCGCTCACATCACCGCAGAGGTTGCACGGACGCACATTTATACGTGGCAATATCTCTGCGCTGGCCATGTGCCCAGCCGCATGGCCACTGCGGTCCCCATTGCCACCGCGCCTAACGACATTCTCACATGTGACACTTGGGCATGTCTGTAGCGCACGCCAGGCAGAAGGTGTGCCAGCAGGGCAGCAGCCGGCCATATATGGCGATTGGCGAGTGGCAAGCAACGCAGAAGTGGACGCGGTTCCCAGGAGCACGCTGCACGAGGTGCCCTGGCTGAGCATCATTCTGCTGCTGTTCCTGGCCCGTATCACTGCGTTCCAATTGTGAGTCAACTTGAGCATGACGAGTGACGTCCTGCTGCTGCTGCGGCTGCTGCTGCTGCTGCTGCTGCTGCTGCATCGCAGCCGCAGCTGAACGACACCGTCCGCCACCTGCAGCTGCTGCAGTCTCCGTCAAGAAGCATGTAACGGGGCGGGCTCTACAGCAGCACTTCTGTACTGTCAAGGTGACGGATATCGTTCGTAGTATTGCGAAGCGTTGAGGTGCGACAAGGAGGGAGCTCAAAAAGACGATCTCCGCAACATGGCTACGATCAGTGAGCTTGTCGTCTATCCCATCAAGGTATTGTCATGTATGAAATGAAGCCTAGTCAAATTGAATGTCGACTGCCGCGGATTCCGCAACAGCGACGATGGCCAGGGCTTCGAAGCAGAGGCGTGCGGCAGCGCTGGTGCGCCGTTGACGCACAGGAACAATGATGCATCGCCTTGCGCTGCAGAGCTGTGGAGGTATCAATGTGCAGGAGGCTCTTATGACACCCCAGGGTAAGCACAAAGAGCCACCTCACCACGACGAGGGTTTCGGTAGTTTGCGCCTGCCAGCCCTGCAAGAGCTGCTTTGTTGATGGAGGTTACGCGCCACCTGGCGCCGCCTTCAACCCATCATTGCACATGGGACCAAGCCAGCATCGCAAACCTCTTTGCGCGTGCCTGTGCTGGCCGCGGCCCGCCAGGCCTGGCGTTTGACCGCCGGTGGATGGTGGTTGACCAGGAGACGGGACGCGCAGTGACCCAGAGGACTCACCCCAAGATGGCGCTGGTGGGTTTGGAGGGTTGAGGGATGGGGAGGGGCCAGCGAAGTCATGCTGGAGCGCAGAGAGCGGTCTGTGCAGCGCAGATGCAAATGGGAGCGCTCGTGCATGTGGTGGCTGTGCGGGGCAACCGGGAACGCGTGCGCGAGCACTGGTGGTCCGTTGAACCAGCAGATGGACGGGCACAGGCAGCAGGCGGCCTTCAGGTGCATTGCCGCAACCGCCTCGCCGCCGTCCAAGCCCCTTGTTCCCCGCACCGTGGCCACGCGGCAGGTGCTCACGTCCCTGCCCCCAGCCCTGCTGGCCGGCGCGGAGCCGGGCCCCTCTGATGCCCTCCAGCTGTCGGCCGCCGGCGTCGCGGCCCGCGTGGCGGTGCCTCTGGCCCTGGCCAACCCGCCCACCCTGAGGTGCGGCGCTCTTGGGGCCCTGGGCGAGGGAGGGGGGCTTGCGCAGCACTAGCAAGCCGGCTGCATCAGCCGCTGGCACGCGTGGAGGGTGCGAGCATCTGCACCCTCAGGGTCACATCTCTCGTGCGGGCCTGCCCTCGCCCCCGGCGCTCCCCCTGCAGATCGCTAGCTGTCCAGGGGTTTGGCCCCCCCTGGTGCCCGTGAGCCCCTTGCGCCTCAGCGCTCAGCCAGCCACCCACGCACCCCTGGCATGTACCCCGTCACCATACGGTCGTCCTGCACCATACGCATCGCATCCTACTCCCGTGCCGTCGTGGTCTAGGAATGACGGGCTCACCCCTCAACATCGGCCTCCCCCTCGGCCCCTTGTTTCAAAGGCCGGCCAAGGTGTGGGAGTGGTCCGGCCAGGCGGCCGACGAGGGCGACGAGGCGGCAGCCTGGCTGACGTCATTCCTGGGCAAGCCGGTGCGCCTGGTGCGCTACCTCGGATCCCTGGACCCGGCGGCATCCGATGCAGCAGCCACACTCGCCGCCGAGGCGCTGGCGGCGGGCGAGGGCGCCGCAGGCGCGGATGCGGGCGCGGCGGGCGCGCTGACGCGCGAGGTGGACTCCCAGTTCGTGCCCTGGGGCGCTGAGGTGGCGTTTGCCGGTGCGTGGCGTGGGAAAAGTGCGATGAAGGCACGACTGGGTTTTGGGCGTGGAGGTGTTGGCTTTGGTTGCAGCCGGCGGCTTCGAGGGCCTGTCGTGGGGTGTGCATAACAGTGGCCGCTTGCCTGCACAGCCGCCCTGTCATGCTGCCACGAGGCTCAGCCAGCCGCCCCGCGCGTTGGTCAGCGACCCACTTGTCCCCACCCATCCAGACCCGCTCTCACCTTGCCCCACGACCTGACACCCCGCCCAATACAGACGGCTTCCCCGTGCTGGTGGCCACCTCTGAGGCGCTGGAGGACCTCAACTCGCGGCTGCCTGGGGAGGGGGGGCCCATCAGGATCAACAGGTTCAGGTGGGGCCACGGGG